ATTAACAGTTGAAAATCGAATTTCATCTTTGTAATTAAGCATTATTTTGAAAGTGTTCCAATTTTAATTAGAATCGTATTGGAATACTTAAGCATTCGAAAAGAAAAATCACGATTTGCTTCAAATTACGAAAATTTTCATATTCAAATTGCCTTGCAGGGGCACTCAGAACATTGCACAACAACTGACACTTTCCCAGGCACCAAACAAATACCGGCTACATTCCTACCACGTATGTAAGATCACATTAAACCAATGGATTACTGCACACCGGTATAAATTGAGCAGGAGTTAACTAACCGAATACGAGAAGCTGCTCGAGAAGAGTGCATAATACGGTGATTACACAGGCACTTGTTTGGAGTGACAGACTCAAATGTATGTTTTTATAATTTGTATACAAATGAATAATTCGAGGTTATGAGTTTCGAAATAGGTTCCGTCATTCAACGATTTCTATCAAATTTACCGTTTATCCTTGTCTATCTTATTGCCACTTTCTCTATTTATCCATGGTTACCGGAGTTTTAATAATTACGAAGCAACAAGTATTTACGTAATGTTAATTAGCCAGATTACCTTGAAAAGCATTGTTGCCGTTTTTCTAATATAGTTTTATGCAAATTTCTCAGTTTTTAATAATAATTATTTTTTTTTAACAATTTTTTCTGCACTCCTGAAACAAAGGAATTTTTTTTAGAACGCAAATGTTAATGAAAATCGAGCAAATACCCATCTGAACATGTACCTACTGTTGATAAACGGATTAAACATTTATCCCATAAGCGTGTAGTATAAATATATTTTCAGCCGGTTTAAATGCCGTCGAATAAAAACATTTGCATAAATCCCGACGATTCACGATTACAATTTATAATGATGTGTTTTCTTATTAAAATTCAATGTAAGCAACTCGTCAAGTATGTAGCCTTTTACAGACGATTGTTTTGCGTTTATCCGCAGAAGCCAAATGACGGTGCGTGCGTGCTAATAGACGACACTCATCTAGAATAAAAAAACATGTTCAAATTGTCCTGTTAATGAAATTAGGCTGCAAACCATATCCAATTTACTAATGCGTTTATTAACTGAAAAAAAAACGCCCAAGTTGATAGTGTTGGGAAGTGCGACAGTCGCGGGATGTCGTCGGGAAGTAAAACAATAAATTGAATAGTGAGTTGGGTTCTGATAAGGAAATGAAACGATAAGACGGTTTCGACGATAATATTGAACTTGGTACTCTGTAGTAATTCTATTATGTATTAAACATGTTGTGCAGTCAGTGCTAAAAGGCGAAGGAAATGTGAAGCTGCAGGATTTGGAAGGAAGTTGCATCTGCACGCGAACTGTGATTCTAGATCAAAGATATTTTATATAATAAGGTAATGATTAATCCATTTTTAAACTTGCGTGATAATGTATGTAAATATACGCCCTGATGTATGTACGTCACCAGTTTTCTCCTTATTTTGATGATTTATGTGAGGATATTTTTGCGGATTTGTATGACCAATTTCTCCGTGGGAGGTTTCAATATCCACTAGTTACTCAATTCAATTGAGAAAACATTTAAAAACTTGCCACTAATCAGCTGGATTAGGCATGTTTGCTTTAGTGTAAGAACTTTAAATTCTTTGTTATACCTGGATGATATCAAAACAAATTTATCTGGCGTAGAACATTTGCTTGGGTTGGTTTACGCCAATAATTTCAGCAATATTTGTATAAAAACAATTAGCATATCACGTACAGTGCATCGAAAGGAAACGGAAACTCCACTGAATACGTTTGTATGAGATTTAACATTAATATTTGGAAAGTCCGGCCTTAAATATCTGCACTATGGCGCGGATACTTTGTTTGCATTTTTCACTCAAGTGTGCAGCGTTAGTTTAAGAGATTACCCTAATTTAAAATAGTGCTGTTAAATAGTTAACCAGTTTTTCGCCGGATATACGTAGTTAACGCCTAGTCCTATCTATTTCAGAAATGAAAATGACAAACGTTAAAATAACGGCCGTTGGAGACGGTATAGTAGGAAAAACTTGCCTACTGACCACTTATGTTACTGGGGAATTTCCTCAGGCGTATATTCCAACAGTGTAAGTATACTTCTAGGTTTACATTTATGAAAATTCCTCAATATAAAGAACTTTATATTTCGAGTTTTCTGTAAAATTTTTAGTAAAAAAAAATTAGTTTATTTGCAAAAACTACAAATATTAAAAAGCTGTACGGTGAAGAAGTTGGCACCATGTTACTTTTCCATTATTGATTTTCCGAAAAAACCGATTTTTCATAAAAAGTTCTGCTTGATCTAAAGCCTAAAATTCAACTATCAGGTATAAAATTTTTAAAGTCGTATACGAGGTATATCCGAAAATGTGAATTTTGCTGAAGAATAAAGTACCTGTATTTTCGGCAGTATCAACAATTTTTGTTAAGAAAAGTTCTTCAGAACTAAAAAATACGTTCAAATATGCAATTATATCCAATATACGGAAGAAATAAAAATTCATATTTTCTGACAAACCTCGTATATGACCGAAAAAGTTGATTCCTAATGATTGTATTTTAGATTTCAGAACATGCAGAATTTTTTATGAAGATTAACTTTTTCGCAAAATTAATAATAAAAACTTCCCATGCGAAACCAACTTAAAATGAATGTTAAAAAGAGCAAAAGTTGCCGTTCATCATAGATAGGTGCAATTAGATATCTGAACGTACTTTTCAGCTCTAATCAACTTTTCTTAATAACAATTTTCGATATTTTCAAAAATTGAGGTACTTTATTCTTGAGCAAAAGTAACATTTTCTGAAATACCTTGTAAACGACTGAAAAAAAAATCTGATAGTTGCACTTTACGTTCTGGACCAAGCAGAACTTTTTGTCAAGAATAACTTTTTTCTAATATAGTAGATGTTTACTACTACTAATAACAAAAAGTTTCTCATATGGCGCGAACTTAAGTAAACACATTGTATATATCAGAGTACTACTTACTAAGTTTGCTCCTAGATATGCAATCTTATTTTTTGCTATAATAATATTTGTCCACTTATACGAAAATGATATGGAAGAGAGGTATTTAAGTAGTGTTAAGATTAAATATTTCACTGAACATTTTGCAATCTTATTTCTGGATCCGCGAGGCTTCGTATTAACAGGTTTAAATCAACAGTAAGTATTGCAAAGTTTGCTATTAAATGCAGTAGTTGATTCTTTCATGGGAAGTTGATAGCTACTATTCAAAGCTGAAGCAGTTTTCCAGACAAATATTTTACAATTTAAAATTAAAGTCATAAAAACCGACTAAAAAACTTATTTGGCATTTACATTTCCTGTATTTTGCTTATTTCTAGTTTTCTTTTAATTTTCAATCAATAGATAGAATCTATCTATATATACTTACATATAGATCTATATGTGAATCCTTTTTGTTCTAGATTTGAGCACTATGGGCAACAAATAACGGTAGATGATGTGGATTACGACATAACTTTATGGGACACCGCCGGTCAAGAGGATTACGAAAGACTTCGACCTTTATCTTATCCGGGCGTAAGTTTTTTCAGTGATTTTTTTGCGAAGTTTTCTCATTCACCATCCACCAGATGCTGAGCATAACATTATTTTCTTCCACGTTCTTCAATAGCTGAACGTATGGGATGTGACTGGAGAAATATATTAAAGAATCGCATTTTAATGAAATGTTAAAGAAAAGCAACCAGCTCATAGTCGTTAGGAGTGTAGCATAAATCCTTTAGAAAAAATGAACTACACTTCATATAAAGCGAAATGCGACTGGAGAGCTTTTGGGTCTTTTAGGTCTACGTGAAAAATATGCAGGCACGAGTGGCTTCCATCTTCAGAGGTGGTTGATGCGGCGAGTAAACCACAAAACGTCAAGAAGAATTTGTCCCGACGACCTAAAAGCCCAAAAAACTAAACAGTTTCTAATAGATTCGTTTTGCTGAGCCCTTCGGGCACCACACTGATAGAGAAACTCAACGGAACGAAGGGCTCGGCACAACAAATCTATTAGAAACGGTTGAAGAAGTGTGCTTCGCCTAACTGTCCAGACACTCAAGAAACTAATGAAGATGGAAGAAAATTGGTATTTAACGATATTGCAAGCGTTTTGACGCAATTTATTCAAAAAAACTTTGAATATTGGTGTTACAAGCTTTACTGCGAATTTCTAATTTTGACTATCTTAACACCATTCTTTTTCGTGATAGACTCGTGGTCAATCATTGAAACCAGTCGGGTTTTTAAGCCGTGGTAAAATGGAATTTCTTCCTGGCGTTTCGCAAGCACGAGTGGCTTGCATCCTCAGAAGTGGTTTGCTTGAACGCTTACACTGTTCTCATCAGAACCCGCGTTCAGTTCTGCGGAAGAACTGAACGGGTTCTGATGAGAACAGTGTA